CCATTTGATTTGGATATACAAATCCTTTGAGAGCCATTTGAACTGCCAGAATTCATTTTTGAGATGCCAAACCACCCCTTCCCCTTTCCTCAGACATCCCATTACAATCTTAGAATCTCCTTCAACAATTAGTCTATTAATGCCTATTTCTTTTGCTCCTTCTACTCCAAAAACTGCTGCTAAAAAATCTGCTTTTACCAAGTCCCCTTGTTCAATTCGGCCAGAAAACAAGGCCCAAATAGCACCGTTCTCATCCCTGATTACCCCTCCAATGCCTGAGGCCCCCGGGTTACCCCATACTGCTGCCATCCCTGATTACCCCTCCTTAAAGTCCTTGAATAATGTCAGAGTTTTAACACAATGTGCTACTCTTAGGTTAATAATTTCAATAATTACTTCTTTGCTCCTCTCCTTTTCCTCAAAGGTTCTCAAATTTCTTTCTTCCCAAACTGTTCACACCACTGCTGCTCTTGTACATCTCTACAACAACCTACCCCCCTTTTACCGCTTCTTAATACATTGGGGTCAAACAACCTCTCCAAACTATAAGGGAAGTCCCACATGCAACCAAAGAGAGAGAAAAACCATTCCCAGATGTAGCAAACAAAAGAGTAGGAGATTAAGAAATGGAAAGCAGTCTCACCATTCTCCTTACACAAGCAACACCAGTTGGGGGACAGAAGCCAAATTTGATCTTTTCCTCTAAAGCGGTCACAAGTGTTAATGCAACCAAAGGCACTGATCTTCAAGGGGATAGAGGAGCATAAGATTTCCTTAATAGCAAAGAAGGGGGAAGGGGAAGAGGAAACGAGGGATCCAATGAAGGATTTACATGGGCCAAGACCCATATTATCTCTCTAGGAACTCTATCATATGCCTTTTTTCTAGATCAATGAACACCATATAAAGATCTTCTTCTTCTCTTTGAACTTTTCTATCAATCATCTCAAAAAAATATAGTTTCCATGGTTGACCTCCCTAGGGTAAAGCCAAATTGGTTCTCCGAAACACTTGTTACAAGTCGTAATTTTGATTCTTTGTTCAAATTAAAATGCATAAACATAGCACATAAAACATATGGAAAATGAAAATGTAAAAATAAAATTTGACATAACATATAAAACATTTTCAAGCACTCAACAATTTAAGCACGTAAAACTTTCAATTTCTTTATTTCCTTCCTAACTGCATTACTCTAATTCTAAGAGCCACTTTTTTACCAAGCTCCTTGAGACAAGCCCAAATAAGTCCATGCTCATACAAACATTTCTAATTCTCCAAGAGCCCCTATTTGCTAATATTGTTCATTTCATTCTTCCTAATACAAGACATTTTTTAAAAGATAGAAACTAAAACTAATTATAAAATCAATTTTTTAAGTAGATCTTAAGAAATCAAGATCCTAGCATGAACTTATTTGGGCTCGCCTCAAGGGGCTCAATTGGGGGTCCAGGGCAGAGCCCCCAACCATGATGCTTAAAAAGGTACAGCGCCAAATTTAACAAAGGTGTGTGCCTGGGCTGAGGTGCAAGGCGCACCATGCACACGCCTTTCTAAAGTGGTTGTGCCTGGGCCTAGGCAAGGCACAAGCCTTGAAATGTGCCTTACATGTTTCTTCATTGGAGCCCCCAGCCATCATGCTTAAAAAGTACAAAAAGTGCCAAATTTAACAAAGGTGTGTGCCTAGGCTGAGATACAAGGTGCACCAGGCACACACCTTTCTAAAGTGGATGTGTCTGGGCCTAGGCGAGGAGGCACAAGCCTTGAAATGCACCTCACCTATGCACCTAGGTGCACCTTTTGGATCGCTGGTATGGAACAGTGTTTGGGCAGTCAAGAAACATGCCCAAAAAAATGAGTACGACAGAATGTTTATGCTGAGATGGATGAGTGAAAAAAAGAGAAGGGATAGGGTTCGAAATAGTTATAAGAAGGAACCTAAGAGTAGCCCCAATATGTGATAAAATGAGAGAAAGTAGACCAAGATAGTTTGGTTATGTGCATAGAAGACCATATACAGCACCAATAAGAAAAATCAATCTATTGCAAGTTAAAAGGGCTAGAAGAACTAAGGGCAAACCAAAAAGGACAGGGGTTGAAGTAGTAAGAAATAAACTAAGTGCTAATAATTTAACAACGCATATAGCACTAAACAAAATGGAATGGCAAAACAGGATTCATATAGTCAAACCCCATATAGTTAGGATAAGGCTTCGATGATGATGATGATGATTGCACTGAATATGTAATGGGCCTACCTGGCCATTTGTTATTTTCTTTTCACTACTGCTCCTACTAACGGCAGACTTGCCATTATACTTCACATTATGGTTTGTTAGAATATAACATAGTGGGAACTGCAACACAGCTCACGATCTTGTCTTCTCCTCTCCTCTCTTCTTCTTCCCTACTGTTCTGAGCCATTTCCATTTGATTTCTTCACTTTAGCATCAGGTTATTTTCAAGTTTGTATAATGCAGTGATTACAAAGAAAGTAGATGTGCCTTTTATGTCTACCATCATAATTCTAAAATGTATTAAAAAGAAAGCATACAAAGAATAAGGAACCCATGCTGATGACACAAAATAAGGAGATGGAAATAGCATGGATATTCCCTTACAAAAAGGTTTTATAGAATTATATGCACAACAATAGAAAAAATATGCTACATGCAGGTCTTGGGTAAATAGGTACCTCAACCCAATTGCCAAGGATGACAGGTCTCCTAGCCATTACAGCCTCAAGCAGCTCTTCTTTGACTGGTGCAGACTCATCAACAAGCACATGTGTGCACTCTGGAGTCCAATTACAAGTGGCAAAAGCACCTATACTAAGAGCAAATTATTCATTATTTTTTATAATAAAACAAAAAACAGTAAATGGCTTTGCAGGAAGTGGGTGTAGTCCTGCAAAACAAGATAAGAATCTTACACAGCAGAAAAAAATAATCAAAAACAAAAATTGTTGCAATTGTCAAAGGGCGGCTTCTTGGGTTTCTATGTTTTTTTTGGTTGCTTTACCAGGTACATAGAGAACCTACTTAGTATGTGATCAAAGAGTACATTCTCTAGCTCATGGAATTCACTTTGATGAAGTGGCATACAAAGTTTCAAATATTCCCAAGAAAATGCTTACATTTCTATAGGTAACAACAAGAGATACAACCCACCATACCATATCCCTAAACATTTCCAATTGGTTCAAATCAGAATGGTTTTTTTTTCTTAGGCAGTGGATAATTTCATTAAATTTTGAGTAAAGAAGCCTTATAAAATGGATTCACCCATGATCACAGCTCCCAAAACAAGAATGTATATCAAATAGAAAAAAGTACATGATGCCCCATAACCAAAAAAGAAATAATATTATTTCTCTAAAAAAACCCTTAAAAATTTCTTCCCATTGACATTTTATATCAATGCTTTTAAACCGCTGTTGACCCGGACGATTGAACCGTTCAACCGGAAACCAGTCACCAATCCGGTTCCACTTACCTCCTAACCTGAAGTTATAACAAAAACCGTTGAAAAAGTCAGCAAACCGTTGACCCAGCCATTTGAACCGTCAAATCGTTCAACTCAAACAACAGTTCGCAGGTTAAAAATGAATACATTGATAAACTTGCTTCCTCTCATCAAAGACTGAAATGACAACTGTGAACTGACAAAAAGTAAAAAAGGTAAGGTGAAAATATCAAGTATTGAAATTTGATAAGACCCATTATTCATTTTACAATTTTTTTAACTAATGTAAAGGAATTATTTATTCAAGATCATAAGAACAACCATTAAACTATTGTATCTTTACGAGAACTGTTGTGTCATGTGTTGAATAAATGTATTGCTTATTTGATTATTTTCAATTCATTAGAAAATTCAAATAAATTATACTTTTTTCAAGTAATAAATTATTATATAAGCGTACAGGGAGAAAAACCCATTGTGCTTTTATTTATTTTTATTTACATTTAGTTCATCACGGGTTAATCCGTTTGACTCGGACGGTCAAACCATTGATCCATGACCCGGAAGAAAAACAGTTCCGTTTCCGGGTCGTTTTTTAAAACATTGTTTTATATCAATCCTCTGTATGTATTTGAAATCCTTTTAGATAAATGCTCAATCCATAATGTGGGAATAAGATGTTCTTACCAATCTTTTAAAAGGCATTGGAGGCTTATGCCTGGTGGCACACCTCTAGGTGAGGTGCTAAGCAACCATGTGGAGGTGTACAAGAGAGACACAAACATACCGACTGTGTACATCTCTTGCTTGGAGGCAGGCAGGATGAGATTGTAGCCTTGTAGGCACCTCATCCACCAGGGAGAACATTAGGTCTGACCACCAATGTATTGATAAGAGTCAGGCACTGAAATTTCTCTGTTTAGTGCTTAGAGCCTAAGCAAACAGATTGGAGAAAAGGGCCTTCCAGGGTTCAGCCAAACACCAGTGATCATGCCAAAAACTCATGTCACCAGATCCAAGCTTGAAGGAAACACCATTCTGAAATCTTGTACAATGCTTTAAGATCTCTTTCCAGATTGAGCAACCAAAAGAAGCAAGTAGATCACCTGAGGTCCAATTTCCCCTAGAGACACCAAATTTCTCAACAATCAAGTTCCTCCACCAAAGTCCTCTGTTTGTGACAAATCTCCACTTCCACTTCCCTAACAGAGATTCATTAAATAACTTGACCTTCTTAATTCCCCGGCTGCCCTCCTTGGGCCTACATATTTGGTCCCACATGGATCTTTTCCTCCTCCTGGCAACCAAATCAAAGGAAATTCCCTTGGGAATTTCTCAATTCTTTTTGCCACCTTCACTGGAATTGGGAAAATAGAAAGAAAATAAGTTGGAAGTTTGCTAAAGTACTCTTGATAAGGGTAACCCTGCCACCTTATGGGAGATACTTCGCTTTCCAGGAAACAAGTTTTCTCTCCATTCTTTCCAGTATCAGATTCCAAATATCTACTGCTGAACACCTAGCATCCAAGGGGAGGCCCAGGTACTTTGTTGTAAGAGAATCAACATTACAAGCCACCATTCCAGCAATTCTTTCTACATTTACAACCAGTTCCACAGGAATGATTGAGCTTTTGCCCAGGTTAATCTTTAAACCAGAGACTTCGAACCAAGCCAGCATCCCTCTTAAGATTTTTAACTTGATACTCTGAGGCATCTAAGAAAAATATGGTATCATCAGCAAAATGAAGCACATGAACCTTCTCCCCTCGTCTGCTCACCCTTAAACCCTCCACAAGACCCAACTCTTCAGATTTCTTCATTAACTGGGTAAGAATCTCCACTACACACATGAAGAGGAAAGGGGAGAGGAGATTTCCCTGCCTAACCCCTTTTGAATTGCTGAGAAAGTCCAAAGCCTGCCCATTTACCAGCACCAAGGATTTTGGGGTGGTTATACGGACTTTAACCCAATTCTTTCATTTCTGCCCAATGTTTGTTTGCTCCAAAACACAGTCCAAACACCTCCAATTGATATTGTCATAGGCCTTCTCAATATCAATTTTACAAATGTAACAGAACTTTTAAGAGGTGGTTAACCAAGGCTAGCCATCTCTTTGAGTAGTGTTTGTTGTATGTTGATTTTGGACAGTTTGTAGTTAATGGCAGGTGTTTTGAGTGTTTTGCTTCTTTTCCCTATTAGTAACCCCTTTGGTCTATTAGCAAAAATCTTGCACAGTTTTCTTTAATATAATTAATTAGGTATCAATAAAAAAATTACAGCAGAAAACAAGGACAAGTCTTATTTGCACAGCAATTGCTTACCAATTAACGAAATTTTATCTTCAAGGAAACTACGCAAGGACTTGGAGCAGTAAACAAAAAATATGAGTGGAACAAAACAAAACCTGCAAAAAAAATGCAAGGTCATGGAAGAGGGCAAAATGTACTTGGCCTATAATCAACCTTGGAATCAAGAAAATAAGAATAGAAAGCTTATCATGTTGATTATGAAAGTTCTTAACTAATGCCAAAAAATTTATAATTACATGACCAAAGAACCTCAAACAAATAACTCAAATCACCTGTAGGTAGCATTACCGGTTCCAAATGATACCAGATCCCCATCTTTCAGAGTCATCTCCTTATTTGGATGTTCATGAACCTTTGCCCCCTTTCCCAGTTTCTTGTTAATAAACGTCCCATACTTTGAACAATCTCTTATACGAACTTCTAAAGGAAAACCAGATGGTCTGTTTTGATGAGGATCAAATGAAGTCATGGCATCAACAATTATCTCTGCATGTATCCGTGAAACACCCTTGTCTGTATTAATAATCACATCGCAACCTACAAAAACCACGTCTAATATAAGCAATCTTGATAGCATGAAAATGAGTAGTGCATGCTAGTCCAGGACATCACTAACAAATCTTATAAAAGGAATTTTACTTGAATGGTAAAAGGGATGTCATTTTCTCAAGAACTTGCCAGAATTTTTCCATACAATATTTTTCAAGTAATAAAACCCTAAATCTGATCATCTTTTCATCTAACTTGAACAAGTGTTATGGATCACAGAAAATCCTCCTCAAAAATAAAATATTTACACCAAGTAAATGCAGATAGCCAAAACCATACCAGGCTACTATTTACATGTGGGCATCAGACTTATGGTCACATTTATTGTATTTACCACCACAAATTTTGTAAAAGAATTTTTACTTAAATGTTAAAAGGGGTGTCATTTTCACAAGAACTTGCTATAATTTTTCCAAACATAATATTTTCAACTCAAGTAATAAAACACTAAATCTGATCATCTTTTCATCTAATTTGAACAAGAAGTGCTATGAATCATAACAAAATCCTCAAAAATAAAATATTTACACCAAAGCAAATGCAGACTGCCCAAACCATACCAGACTATAATTTCCATGTGAACATCAGCCTTACTGCCACATTTATTGCATTTGCTACCACGAGTAATTTCCTTGAATTTCCAAATAAATAAGGGTTAAAGAAATATTTGCAAAGAAATAGATGAGATGATATATTTTAAGTTCCTTATGTTTCTGATGTATCATAGCACCATGGGACTGTAGCAGAAAATCAAAACATTCTTTCGTTCTATATTTGGCCCACTGAAGGGCACTTAGTAATTTTGCATAATCCAGTAAGCAAGCTAGGTATAGATGTTTTGTGGTTGAGTTTGATAGCCCTTGCTGTGCTGTTTGGTTTCTACATAGTTTCACAGGGTGTCAAGATCAGCCTTCAGAAACCCCTCCTATTCCTGAGGGGCCAGATCACCAATACTGCTCCCATCAAAGTTTAGTTTGATGAAGTCTTCATTTGAAACTGACCAAAGAGCACATTCTAGCCCCTTTCTTGAAGAGCTTCTTGCCACACCACCCAAATTTTTCTAAAGATCATCAAGGATAGATGTGAGAATAAATCCATCATTCTAGCCCAGTGTATCACCCTAGTCATCACACGTGCCTTCTCACCCCTTTGCCAAGGAAGATTCTTTTCCTTTCTTCCCATATTCTCCATACCACTGCTGCCCTTATGCATCTCCATAGCAATCTTCCCTTTTCTTGGGCAATGGCTCATGGGAAGGTAGCTAGATCAAATAGTCTACTTAACTCTAGCCACTATTCCTCCCATTCCTTGCTTAATGCAGAGTGTATGATTAACCTGACTCTAATTATACCCGATTTCAGAGCAGCACAGAAACTTTCAAACAAAGCTCTAGGTGACCATTTTAACCCATATAAGGCCTTCTCTCTACACACCTTCCCTTGCCAAATCCTGGAGGAATATTCATATAGACTTATTCCTACAAGTCCATAAAGAAATACATTTTCACATCAATGACATGTATAATTGGCCAAAATTTTACAAACTTCATACAAGGCCTTCTTCAAGGATTGTAATAGTCACTTTACTTGGATAGTTAGATGTATGTAATAAAATTCTCAGTGACAATTTTTATAGGTGAAATAATGTATAATTGGCCGAGATTAAATTGCTAGACCAACATAATCAAGTCAAAAAATGCAAGCATATAAGTTTATGTACATATCCAGTGCGCAGCACAATCCTTCAATGAAAAAACGAGAGTACTGCAACATGATTATTAATAAGAACATATAACTCCCCCATTGCAATTGGCAAATTACCTTTTCTACCAACTTTATATGCCCCTTTGGAATAGATAAAATATTTTTGTTCACCTGTAGAAAAAAAACTAATAATTCTTAGTAACTAAATCAACAAAGCTTAACAATCTCTACAGTCAAAGCATGGCCTAAAATAATGTATATATCATAGAATTTGTCCAAACAACAAATAATAAATAATTTCTCTTCCATCACAACATTCTATAATTTGTGGTTTATATAACTGAAAGTTAAAGTGCATAAGTTGTCCAGCAAAGTTGAAACGCATCATATTGCTTAGGAAAATCAAAACAAAAGATATAAATGCCTTTCCTGATATGAAATTCATATAGAAGAAAGAGATACATGGATTTGGTCCCACAGTCACCATGTTCTCCGTGTTCTGAGTGAGTAGTTTGAAATCAACTCATAATTCTCATTCCCCACCCCCACCCTGTGGAAGGATTTTTTGTGAGAAAAAATTAATAAAAAATCCAGTGTTTTTCTTTTTTGGAAATCTTTTTGGTTCTCTGCTTCTCTACGTTGGAAATTTTAAAAAAAAAAAAAATCCAGTACCTTGTGATTGTGAATTGCCCTTATTCTCTCTTTCATTCTCATTCTTGCTGAATTTAATTATAATATAAAATTATCTTGGTTTGGGCAATGAGTCCTGTGGTTGAGATTGTACTGATGCAAACCACTTTCAAATACATGCATCCGCCTATTTATTATGTACATTCATATTTGCAATTTTGCATTTAAACTTGAACTTGACTAGCATGACAATCACAATAATATTCACATATTATGGTCCAATAATAATTTCTCTCTTGGCGTCAAGAACAGGGGCTACTTATAAAATATATATTTAGTTTAAAACACCTTGCTGCTCCGCATATTTCAATTGGACCATCTCAAGACAGTCACTGTCGCATTAGATTTTTAAATTCAAACTTATATGCAGTGGGAGTGGGTAAAATCCAACTGGCTGTAGTAAATTTCAACACAAGCTGTTATAAAAGGAAGGATTTCTTGGTTGAGCAAGCTGAACTCAAGCACGAACTGAGGCACAGTACAATCATAACAAATATGCATTTATGTCATATATTTAAAACAAATTTCATAGTATGCAAGGAAATCTATTCAGTAAACATAAAAGTATTTTATTTGCTTAGTTTTATGAGTTATATCAAAAACACTATGAAGCAACTCCAAACAATAGTTATAGACAACTATCGGAAAGAAAGAAAGGGATTCTGAAACAATCATTCTATTCGGAACACTAAGCGAATATCTCTGACAACTTAAGTTACATTTTAATTTTGACCAAAAAAAAATTACATTTTAACCAGAATTCACTATTTTCAAGCCGATATTAGTAATTTAAAAAATCTATTCGCATTTTATAATCTCTCCTTTCATTTTTTCTCGAATATACGATATTTAGAAAGCTCAAAACAAATACTAAACGATATTACTGATAAATTCCGTCTTCGCCGCCATGGGGTGGGGGTTAATAAGCTTTATGTTCATTTCTAGTTTCTACCTAATTCACATATGATTAAAACGAGAGATAACAACCTAGTTTATCGCTCTTACAACAACTACAATTTTCAGAAAATCCTAGTTCTCAAATGATCATTCAGATAGGAATGACGCGACAACACAAAATATGACGACATAGTTGCCGCATTGAGGTAAAAAACACAAGTACCTGGAAGAGATTCGGCGGGGAACAGACCCCAGACCATGGTTTCTGAGACCGTAAAAGGAGTTCGATAAATTTTAGGAGGAACACCAGAGCCCTAACGAAGACACTTCTCTCCCGCTAAAAAATAAATAAAAAAAATCAGAGCATTTAAATCCGGTGCCCGGGCGGGGCGGTTGAAAAAAAAAAGGCCAAATTTCTTAAAATACCTACTGTTTAACTAATTGATTAATTATATAATCTTACTGTTTATATATTGTCTTAAAGTATCCTAATACAATTTCACTCTCAACTCAATAATCAAAAATTTAAAATTTGAAGATCTCAAGTCTCAACTTCAATACATCATTTGAACTTGGCTCTCCCAATTCCCATCTTCTCAAAGTTCTCATTCTCTCAATTCAAGCTCAAGTCTCATTCTCAAAGTCTAAACTTCAGTTATTCAAAGGTTAGTATTTTTTTATTTAATTTTTTTAATTTAATGCATGTTACAAGTTGATATATTTTATTTGTGTTTTGTTTCAGTTTAAGATTTGAAAAAAAAAATCCAGTTAATGAAGATATATTTGCACAAAAAACTTTAATTTTGTATGAAAAACCTAATCTATTTAAATACATACTTCGATTTTAATTTAAATATATTTTATATTTAAAACTATTAAATAAAGATATTTCAGTTTTACATAAAAACTGAAATATATTTTATATTTAAAACTGTTAAATAAAAACTGAAATATCTGAAAAAATCTATATCTAAAAAATATATATTCTGAAATATGTGAGATATATATTTCCAGAAAATATATATTCCAATATATTTGTATGTATATTTTTGTTTATATATATATGTATATTTCTAAAATACATATTTCAGTTTTAAATATATTTTCAGAAAATATCTTAAAAACTTCAGTTTTAGTTTTGTACGAAAAACCTAATATATTTAAATATATATTTCGGTTTTAATTTAAATATATTTTATATTTAAAACTGTTAAATAAATATATTTCAGTTTTGCATAAAAACTGAAATATCTGAAAAAATCTATATCTAAAAAATATATATTCTGAAATATGTAAGATATATATTTCCATAAAATATATATTCCAATATATTTGTACGTATATTTTTTGTTTATATATATATATATATATATTAGTTTTAAATATATTTACAAAAAATATTTTAAAAACTTAAGTTTTCAGTTTTCAAAATAGATATTTCCTTCTAGGCTTCTATGTCCTTTTTGTACAGGAGTAAAACCGAAACCGACCCAACCCGACTCAAACCGACCAGGTCGTTTTGCTTAACACTGGGTCGGTTTCGGTTTCCATCTCGAGTAACCCGACCAGGTCAGGTTGGTTGGGAAAACCCCAGTAAACTGACCCAACCCGACTCGTGAATAACCCTAAGTCGGGTGGCCTGACGGCCCAACCTGTTATAAGTCAGGCTTGGTCATAATTTTAAGTCTGTGAGCTCGGGCTCGGGCCTAAAGCACCAAACCCGACTTTTTTCTAGGTCGGGCTCTGTTAACCCGAATGGTTTAACTATTCAAACCATCATCCGATCAACTTTTCCGGGTACAACTCTCATAAAACCCATGATTTGTTAAAAAAACATTGACAAGTCAGTGAACCAAATGATCCAAACGGTTGAACCATCAAACCAACGACCAGGTAAGCGGGCGATGGTTCAACTGTCAACTATATATATATATATATACATACGTGTATATAATATCTGATTTTTTACTATTTTAATTATGACACCTCCATACTGAACCATTTGACCCACCCGATCGAATCAGTAGGGCTATTCATAGAAGGCCCAACCCGAGTCAGCCAGGTTTTCATCAGCACCAGTCGGTTTCTGGTTGTACAAATTCATAAACCGATGGTTCGGGTCGGTTTCAGTTTCATGTGTGAAAACCGAAACCAACCCGAACCGAACCGACTTAGTTCCTACTTAACTATTTAAATATATATTTCAATTTTAATTTAAATATATTTTATATTTAAAACTGTTAAATAAAAATATTTCAGTTTTACATAAAAACTGAAATATCTAACAACCCAAACTTGCACCACACAGGCACATGGGCCATGGGGGGCATGGATGAACTTAGAGCCAAAACCGACCCAACCCGACTCAAACCGACCAGGTCGATTTTGCTTAACACTGGGTCGGTTTCTGTTTACATCTCAAGTAACCCGACTAGGTCGGGTCGATTGAAAAAAATCTCAGTAAACCAACCCAACCCGACTCATGAACAACCCTACAAATCGGTGACCCATGACCCATTAGGAAAAATCGGGTTAACCTTCGGGTTGATTTTTAAACATTGCTATATATTAAATAAGAATAAATATATTTATTAAATACCAAAAAGTTATAATCATTCAAAATGGGACTAAGAAGTGAATGCAACCCAACATCAAGACGTTAAAAACCTAAATTTAACATGAAGAACAAATAAACATTGGCCAGGGTGTGATGGAAGCACCATCCCGGCGATCATCTATCCATTTCCGCACCAGCGACACCACCAACTGACCCCTCCACTTTTGGCCCCTCTCTCTCCCTTTCTCCCCCTCCCCTTAGTTAGTGCAAAAAATCATTTCAGCATTATCGGGTAAACTAAGCAAATTATTTGGTAAATCTATGTCATATTCCATGACTTTCAAGGAGGAGAAAAGGGATTGAAGCTCATGGCTGGCAAAATAGATTTTAAAATGAATACACAAATAAATAAAGAGATAAAAAGTAAAAACTACGAGGACAATGTTCAAGGGTTTTCTTCTTCGATTGATGATTTTGTGCATTTCGGCATTTGTTTATATTTTCTCACTCACTCCCAACAAAACCATTGTTGATTTCAGACCCAAATCTTTGGCTCTCGTCATCTGTAAGTCTGCTTTTCTTTATCTCACATATACCCAATGTGGTTTTCATTCTCTATGATTCTTGGAAAAGAGTCAGTTCAAACTATGACTTTCATATTGCTCTACTAAATTCGTGGCAGATCTATTATTTCATTTCTATGGGTTTTGAAATATCCAGTCCAGCTAAACATGTGTAATTTTTGTGATGGGAAGATCATTTATGAGTTGAAGCTCATTGGACGATCTTAGGGAGATGCCGGTGGTTGGATGAGTGGGGTTTTCGAACCAACTAGGATATTGGAGGTGAGGAACTTCCGGTGCTGTTGGTATTTACAAACCAACTGAAAATTTGCTTGACATGTAGCCAACGCTCATGGCTTGATGGTTTTCCAGCACGGTTTCCCGGTGGGATGAAGACGAAGAGAGCATGATTTTCTCATATTTTCATTGAAGGTTTTGGGTGAAACTTTGGTGATCTTCTATTACAGCCCCAATTCATATCTCCATTGACTCCAAGTTACCATTTTAAGGAAAAGAGTCTGGATATGTGAGGTTTGTGAACAAACTCTGGCGAATGTCACAAGCAAAGCCAATGCAGCTGCTCTCCACCCAGTGTGGGATCATTTCAATTGGATGCGGAGAGGGAGAGACAATGAGTTAAGGGCAAAATAGATATTTCCATCTCATCCATTACATTTTAATGGTCACAGTAATTGTCCAAAATATTAGGGATAGCATAAGACAATAATTAAACAGTAGGGGTATAGTTAGTCAATTTGCTAAACCATAAGGGTAGTTTAAGAAATTTGTCAAAAAAGGAAAACTCACAATTAATACCCTGTACTTTGGGCCTAGTGGCACTTTGGTTCTCGAACTTTAAAATGCAATAATTAAAAAATGTGACAATTTAGTACCTCTTATTGATCAACAATTAAAATGGCATTTGAAAAGATACAAATGCCCTTCGAGTGCCATTTAATTTTATTTATCAACATCCAATTGTTGACAAAAAACAATCATAAATCATTGTCTCTTTTATTCAAGAAAGTTGGGGTCATTGGAATGCCCATTGAAACGTGACCCCAACTTTATTGAATATAAGAGAAAATGATTTAATACTTTCATTTTTTGTCAATGTTTGGATGGTTAATAAAGAAAATTAGATGACACTCAAAGGGCATTTGTGTATTTTAAAATACCATTTTAATGGGATGTTTAGGTATTTAATTATCGCTTTTTAAAGTTCTTGGACCAAAGTGGCATTATGCCTAAAGTACAATGTACTAATCAGGAATTTTCCCCAAAAAGTTATAAAAATAAATATTTTGTGTCACTTGGTGAATGCAAGTTTTTTTAGTAGGAAAAATGTTGTCCCAACTAGGTTTCAATATAATCTCTATCTACACATCTTACTAAGACTGGGACCTAGAGCGATAATGTGTGTTGGGCCAACATGGCCCAGCACACCAGGGCTCATGCTTAGCACGACGTGGTCACTATAGTACTGTGTCGTATTAGGCTTAGCTTACGGAGGGGATCGGACTCCCAAAGCACGGCTCGACATGGAACCCAGTCCAGCCTAGCCTGGCCTGGCACGGCATGCATGCAATCGCATGCTGACACAACAAAATATAGCCGTTTGAGAGGTCCCAATGGCTATATTTGCTTTTTTTGGGGTATTTTGACTAAAGTACCCCCCTCCAAACAACTATAAACCACCATTAGGTGGTATTTTTGTATTTTGGATCGTGTGAGCAACAAATAACTTAAATGCCCCCTAATAACTTCATAACTAGTTTTAGGGGTATTTAAGTCAAATAACATGTAGTCATTAAATTACTAGAATACCCCTCCCCAATAACCATAAACATATAGTTTTGAAATGGCATTTTGAGTTTTGGATCAAATTAACCCCCAAGCTTCAATTGGCCAATTTCTATAAAACCCCTACCCTCCCTCATTCTCATAGTAACAATTCTCATACTCTCTCACATTACATTACATACTCTCATATTCTATTACTATCTACAGTGGCCAATTCTTTCCAAAATCCTTTTCCTTTTGTTGATGAACTCCAATCAAGTGATACTAAATCCCTCTTCTAGTAATAGAAGGAGCGAAGTTTGGACTATCTTTGACTAAAATCCTTCTTATATATCTATAGCGTATATAAAAGTGTGGATGGAATGTAAAACTTTTTTTTTGACTAAAATTATCCTTTATTTATTTGTTTTAGAAAAGGTATAAAAGTCATTTTTATTGTAGTTTTAATGGTTACTAAATGCTTATATTTGTGCATATAATTAGTCTCTAATTGTAAAGGTTGAAAAATGTAACTTCAATTATTATTTTCCACCTCATTTAATCCCCTGTCATTATGTCTTATACTTAAGGTATTAAATCTAATATACTCCTATTAAACCCTATATTTTTAAGTTATTTTTCACTATTAAGTGTTACTAATTAGATCTACGTCAACATCTTTAATAATATATACCCATATATTTTAAAACTGATTAAAAAACAAAACAATTTTTTATCCAAGTGGTGGCTAAGCAATTCAACCACAAAATAAAATTGATAAACCTACAAAGTAAATATAAAATATTATAAATAAATTACATGTATTTATGATATTTTTTATTAATTGAATTAAACAATAATGTAATACACAATAGTTGTTTTATTGATAATAAAAATGAAATACATAATTTAAAATTAATCAAAAATGGAATATAAAAATTAATAATAAATATATCAACATTTGGGTTAAATGTGTTAACATTTGATGTCATAAATAAATGATAAAAATTAATAAAATACAAAAATACATACCTTTTGCAAAAAAACATGCAATCACGTGTATAATATCATATATTTATCATATTAAATAAAAAGCAATTGTGATATATTATAATTTTTTGTACACAAAAAGTAAAAAAAAGGAAAATTTTGAACACATCTATAATTCTATATTTATACTACTATTAAAAATATGAATAAGATTGTGGACTTTTTTTTACTAAAATACTCATTTTTTGAGTTCAGTCTCTGTTTAATTGTACGATTTAAATTGTAAATTGAACCACTACTTTTCACCTCATTCAATTTCCTCTGTTTAAATTTTACATTTTTTTATATAAATGAACAGAAAAAAAAAGGATAAAACACTGAAAAAATAATAGTATAGCCAAGCAAGTTATCAATGACATTTGAAACTTCACAACTCGATCTAATTATCACATATTTGGATGAGGTGTTTATATAATTAGGTTTGGATTTTGCAACATGCATTCGATTAATAATAAAAAACAACAAATATAAAAATGAATAATAAATAATAAATAAAATTGGATATATTATTGTTATCATTGTCATTTAGAATTGCCACATGCACGCTCACTAGTCCCTATAAAGGGAATAATAATAGTTTGCAAAAAGTGCATACATGATTTTGTCTGCCATAGCAGTGATGGGAGTTCGGCTCAGTCATGGCAAAGTTTGTTCGAGCAGCCTTTACAACCTTGCATTGAGAATATCTCCCTACTTATGTGCTTTGTTTCATGGGGAGATATTCCCAATGCAATGTTGTAAAAAAACTGTTGGAACGGTGTGGGTACGGGATTGCCACGATGGAAGCCAATAGCTAATAATGGCACAGGCAATTTGCATAAACACATGGCTTTTCACCTAAAATAAGGAAGAAGATGATAGCAATTTGAATGAATGAATGAATGATCAACTCCACTGTATTCTTTTTAATATATTATTTATTTTTTTGTATACATTAAATTTGAAATGATAAAATTTTAAACTTATTATTTCATGTTGATTTTATACTATTATATATTTTTTCATAATTTACCTTAGTTTAGAAAAAAAGTAGAAAACTACACTAAAAAGTTTTGAAACTTAAAAGGAAATGAATTAAAAAGTAGGTTGGGCTCAGACCCAGCATAGCTAGGAACCAAGCTACGGGTCGTGTCGAGCTTGACCTAGGAAAGGGGCCGTGTTGCCTAACCACATCTTGCCAAGGCCCGAGGCCTAGCATGGAACGACATGGATGGTGCCCGAGTCACATTCAATCCATGCCATATTGGCTCAATATGGCTCACACTATAGACTATTGGGACCCACCATACTATAATGTGCAATAGTGCAAATACATATTATGGTGGAACATGTTGGCACAATTTTATTTACTACCAAGTACCAACAATGTTAGGAATAGATCTGTCCTTACATTATGCTCACAGTCACTTGCATCAATTCACTATGAAGATCCCCCCATGAATAAAAACATACAAATACATAGATGTTCTTGATGCACGGCTGCAAAAAGGTTGTGATGATGTTGTGAAAACTAAACCCAGTCTCTCTCGGGGAAACATAACAAACGTACATTTGTGAATGACATGATATATGTGATCATAACATGTTGAGAGTCAAATTCTATAACTAATAGGTTAGCCAGTTTCAACCATGATGTTAATCTATTGGCCATTTTCAACCATGTGGTGAGGAGTATTCTCACAAATAGAGCATACATTTGCCTTTTCTTATTATTCTTTATCGCACATGGGCATATATATATATAAGTGAAATCATTACAAATATAACAAAGGTAAACCATATTTGTTATCTAATAACACCATTATTATCTTTTTCTTTTTCTCTTACCTTAATAGTTAATGTTTGTAACATATTCCCTCTCCATTAAATCCATATTTTCATCATCTTTTAATCCCTTTTGACTCTATATAATAAAGTAGTGATGTTAATTAGATGAATTGGGTTAGGTCATGGATCAACCTAAATAAGCCCAAAATTGCCCGCGAGTACATAGGGTGAACCAATTTTACAAAATATAAAAGTCTATTTAAACAATTGATCCTTTCAATGGGTTATTAGCCCTTTTCTACATTATCTTGTTAATTGAATGCAGATTTGTTTATTGGATTCATTTAGTTCAACAATAAAAATCACTCAACATGAGCCTTTGGTTATCTTCATCAATTCAATTTTGAAATTATTATCTAAATTGGTTATTGATCTCATGTTAGGCACATTATTGGCTACTTAAAAAGGAATAAGATTGAAGCTCAATAACTAAAAAGAAAAATAATTTTTTTTCTACTACATTACATGTAAATAAATACAAATATATAAAAAACCTCTGTGAATCACTGTTAGTTCATTTTTCTCTTTACATAAAAAACCGTGCATTGCACGGGTTACTGCTAATTTATTTATTAATTTGGATTTTTTTTTTATGAGGGGTCATTTTATCCTCCCTTGGGTTTTTGATTTTGCTTATTTGTTTGTTTGATTCCATTCCATAAAAAAAATGCTCGTGATCTTATCATCATTCCATTATATATTATCTACTGGAACCCAACATTTATTACAAAAGATAGATTTATCAATAATTATCACAGTAGGATGAGAAAAGATGTTATTGAAACTTTAATGTGAATATAATATTAGTTGATATGAAGGTATTAATAAAGTTTTATTTATGCTACTTAATATTAACATTATTATGGTGTTTGTTAATTAATATCTTAATTCCGTTTTTTAGATATATGCTCATATACGGCATCAACTTATTATTTTGACAAAAATGAAAATGAATAGTAATAATAAATTGACATTAAATAATATAAAAGTATATTATTTTACAACATTTTATTAAAAAATGCAATTTTTTAAAAAATTATTTTATTTTTTTTTGTATTTTTGCTTTTATAGAAACATGGACTCGTAAGTCGGTTCGGGTCGGTACCGGCTCCAGTCACAGGACCGAGGCGGGTCCGGCTGGAGACAATGGAGAGTCGGGTCAGCGTTGAGGTAAACCCGTACCGAACCCGACGCAAGACATCATTACTGAGATGGGCAACAAGGTGATTTACGTCTCCCGCGCATTTTAGATTACTCTAACACTACCAGGTTCATAGCTTTGCCGGTGACTTGAATCGCTCATCTATCATCTTCGTCTCCTATGCTCTTCATCTTATCTAGAGCACCGTCTTCATTAGATTCCATAAACCTTAATTCAACTACCTTGGTTGTCCATTTTTGTGCTGAATTGAAGTTTCAATGGTGGAGAGAAGAAAGCCTCTTATACTTTCATCCACAAAGAACCTCCTTGATTCCATATTGAACTCAGCGGAAGCTAGAGATGGGGTACAACGAAATCAGCTGCCTGAAAATAATAAATCACCGTCTTTGCGGTTGCGGGCGGGGATTCTTCGTTTGTCGAGGGATAAAAGTGATGTTCGGGACCAGAAATGGGCTTCTCTCGATGACTCTGTTCTGGTTGGGGTTTCTGCTACAGTTTTGAAAAGACTTTGCATCACTTCTGGGTCGTTGGTAAGTTTATCGGAATTGATATTGGCCATGTCCATCACTTTCGAGTTATTAAGATTGAATTTATTGGACTTCAATTTATTCGAGCTTACTTGCATTGCAATATTTGGTTTATTTGATGTTGGTAGAAACTCTTTAAACGAGAGCGAAGTCGGTGGTTTTCGTGCTTTCTTGGAAATTAGGTTATTGAATTTCTTACTCTTGAAGAGGATTAATAGTTCCTAAATGCAATAGAGTGATGCAGAGAAAGAAAATATGAAATGACATCAACATGCAGTGTTGAAGCTATTTTCATGTCCTGGTTTAAACTTCATCAACTTAACATAGTCAGTGTTGAAGCAAACCCAATAAATAACATCAGCATGCATATTGTCAAGGAACCGTTCAACCTAAAATCTCAAGCTGTTTGGTGAGGTCCCTGAATAGGTTTTTATTCTCTAAGACATAATGAGATTTTTCTCCTTTTTATGACTTTCTTTTAATCTCCAAGAAGAGGAAGCTGGGTCCGCTTCTAATACTTAGCTGAGGTCCCTGGATAGGTTTCCAATCTTGTTATGCATACTTTGTTCCCGAGATGAGCACTTTACTATTGTTTGAAAGGCGTTGGTTGATTAGTTGTATAGGTCAGCATATTCCAAGTTGAAGTTAGAGTCGTATAGGTCAGCAAATACTTTACTATTTGCCTAAATATTGGTAGGTTGGTTGGGCCTCGGTATCGACAAAGTTTTGAGGGTAACCCACATGTCCCTGTGAAACCCGACATTGGTTGGGGTTTCTGACCCATGTATGATTTGAGGTATAGAGGCGACAACCACCAACACTTTGCCTTGGATTAGCTGGTCATTGTTGGCTACTCTATCTCACTAAGTTATGGTTGACATGTAACCTGGGTGTGTTGTATGTCAAAGCTCCTGGCCGTGCCTGACCCAGGTTAGGACTTAGTTATGACATATGATCCAAAGATCAAATTCCAGCTTATCCATGAAGATGGTCCAAGTCAAGTTATCCATGCTTGTCTAAGAAGATGGGTTGAGCTGAGTTATAGGGTTGTCCCTGCTTGTCAATGAAAATGGGCAGAGCTAATTTCTAGGAATAGGGTGGTTGTTAGTCCATTCAAACTTGAAAGCTTAGAGGTTGGCTCCAATCAGTTGGTCAGATAAGTTGAGGTTGATTGGATTCTTTTATAGGTCGATTTTGACTGATGCCATTAACTAAGTTGAAGTAGGGTTTCTGGTCTTCCCATGTCAGCTGGTGGCACTCACCTGCATCCAAAAAGAGAGAATATCCTTCTCAAATGCAATAAACATATGAGTAGGAGATTAGTAAATAATAGCTAGTCTTTCCACGTGTATTGCACATGAGACAAATATGAGGAGACAAGGACCAAGTAGGCCTGTTCTTTTGGAGGGTTTCACAAGTATCCACACCAACCTTGAACTGTGCAAATTGTTCTAATCTAATAGAGTGGTCTTGGAGGATGCTTTGGACCAAGAGGTGGTAATTATTTGGTCTATGGCTTGCTAAAGTGGAAAATGAGGACTGGGGTATTGATGCTCCTTGTTGACAACTAGCTGTCACATGGCTCACTTTAATGCTCATTGACAATTGACAATTTTTATTTAATAATAGAAAGCATTAAGGATAAGGAAAGATAGGTTATGTTGCCAAAGTAGAACAGAGAGCCCCCAAATTAAAGATTACAAATAAATACATAGCCATCCTGAAGAAAGACACACACCCTTAACAAAAAACCCTCCCAAACCAGAGTACAACCTCCAACCCACTCGAACAAATGCTTCCTCATCACGTGCTTACTCTTTTCGACAAGTGTGCACTTCATCACCATAGATATCTATTCCACCTGCTTCTTTCCCCTTTTGAAATGCTTTTGGCAGACACTTCATAGTTGCTGAAGAGGAGGTATCTTGTGAATCAAAGTCATACAAGATAGAAACTGATGGAGCAGGTAATCTAGCAACTCCAACAAAGAAAGATATGTGTTCAAGTAAAACAACATTACGAGAGATATAGATACGCCGAACAAATGGATCATAACATAAAGGCCCCTTGTGGTCAAGACTATAGCTTACAAAGGCACACATAGTAGACTGAGTAGACAATTTAGAGTGTTCACGAGTAGGGAGATGTGCAAAACATAAACAACCAAACAAATGAAGAGTAGATAAGTCCAGTGGACGATCAAGCATTTTTTGAGAAGGAGATATATTAGCAAGAATAAAAGAAGGAATGTAGTTGATCAAAAATACAACTATACTAGTTGCCTCCACCCAAAAGGAAGATGGTGCATGCGACTCTTGTAACAAGGTCTCACAACAATGAGAACATGAACATTCTTGTGCTTAGCCACACCATTGTGCTGAGAAGTATCTGGACAGCTTTGTTGAACTTGTATCCCATTAGTCTTCAAGTAAGACAAAAAGTCTCCATCAATGTATTCTCTCCATAAATCTGAATGGAGGATATGTACACAAGACTAAAATTGAATTGGTACCATGGTGTGAAATAGCTGAAAACTTGGGAAGACTTCTAATTTGTGCTGAAGAAAATAAATCCATATGTACTCAGCGCAATCATTCATGGATAGTACAAAATACTTGTATCCCAAATGAGAAGTAATAGATGAAGTCCAATCATCAGATGTATAATTTCAAACGGAGAAGTAGCATGTTCAGACTTGTGAGGAAACTGTAAAGTACGACTCTTACTCAAATAATAAGAAACATATGAAATTTGCAAAGAGGGAATTTTGTTTCTTTTAAAACCAGAATTAAACAAAAACTTTATTTTTTTTTAGTATGAGAATGACCCAAATGTTTATGCCACAAATCCCAAACATTGTTTCTTAGACCCAAAAAGGAACTAGATGAGGAAGAACTCAAATAAGCTGATGACTCGGCTATGTGAGATTTCTCGAACTCCAATGCAAACAGGTGGCTCAACCTACATCCCTTCCCTTTCACCTTCCTAGTGCACCAGAAAAGGATAAAGTCTGGTTCGAACTGGAAGTCAAAAACCTAACACCCATTTGGCCAAACATGTGCTTTTTTTATTAAAAAAATGGAAAAGACATATATGCCCTTATTTAAATAAGGAGCACTGGTTCTAACATAATATTACAGATCAACAACCTTAATATAAGTATAAAGACAGAAATACCCCTACACTAACAMTCCCCCTCAAGCTGGTGAGTATATATCATATAATCCCAGCTTGTTACATATGTAGTCCACTCTTCCCCGACTCAACCCTTTTGTAAATAAGTCTACCCACTGGTTNGCTGGTGAGTATATATCATATAATCCCAGCTTGTTACATATGTAGTCCACTCTTCCCCGACTCAACCCTTTTGTAAATAAGTCTACCCACTGGTTTTCCTGTATTAACGTATGTATGTCTAGCTCTCCATTCAACACCTTCTCCCTCACAAAGTGACAGTCAACCTCAATGTGCTTGGTTCTTTCATGAAACACTGGATTAAAAGAAATATGAACTGCATCCTGATTGTCACAATAGAGCTTCATTGGAGTATTGATGTTGTACCCTACTTTCTGTAGAAGGTTCCTTAGCCACACTAATTCACAAGCGGTATGCGCCATAGCCCTATATTCTGCTTCTGCAATACTTCTTGCCACGACTGTCTGCTTCTTACTTTTCCATGTCACCAGGTTACCCCCCAGGAAAGTGCAATAGCCTGTGGTAGACCGCCTATCAGAC